TAAAATAATAGCTCTTTTTATATTCCCAACAGCCTCTGTTAACTCTATTACTATATTTATGTGGGGCCACCTGGTTAGTTTGAAGGATTCACGTACTCCCAATTCACTTCTCTCTCTTCTTACCACACAGTAATTGGTGATGTTCTCTCCTATTGCTGTTTAAGTGGCCGATTGAGTGACTTTTGTTAATGAATGCAGCCTGCTCTCTGCTGATATTAGTTGGTACCCCCATAAATGCAGTCAGTTTGTTGAAATGTTTTTTTAATAATTTTATTTATAACATAAAATATGAAAATACAAAAGCAGATAGTAGGGGACAACAATAGGAAAAGGGAAAATGAAAAAGTGTGGAGAATGGGAGGGGAAGAAACAAAAGGCATTGACTTCCGACTCCCTTTGTTGCAGTAAAATAAGATGTTAAGATTAAATCTCAACTTTTTACATTTCTATAGTAGTATGAACTAGCCATTTATGTATCAACAAATCAGTCTAATCAGTAAAACCCAAAATCATAGTATCATTTTTTTCCACCTCAAGCAGAAACAAAACTACATATATTGTTTTCTTTTATCAAAACAAGTCAATTTAGCCATCTCTGCTAATTCCATGAGCTTTTGTAACCATTTGTCCATGGTGGGAGTCAAAGCTTCCTTCCATTTTTGTGCATAGTGCATTCTTGCTGCCTTCACCATATAATAATAATAATAATAGTAATAGTAATAGTAATAATAATAATAATAATAATAATAATAATAATAATAATAATAATAATAATAATAATAATAATAATAATAAAAAAGTTGGAAGGGACCTTGGAGGTCATCGATATAGAATAGAATAGAATAGAATAGAATAGAATAGAATAGAATAGAATAGAATAGAATAGAATAGAACAGGAAGGGACCTTGGAGATTTTCTAGTCCAGCCCCCTGCTCAAGCAGGAAAACCTATACCGTCTCAGACAGGTGAATGTCTAGTCTCTTCTTAAAAATCTCCAGTGATGGAGCACCCACGATTTCTGGGGGTAAGCTTTCTGCTGGTTGATTGAATCAGAGTTCCAATTTTTTTTCCCAATTCTCTTTGCATTAGACACAGAAGGAAAGTTTATTGAAATGTTTCTGAATAAAAGCCTCAAAAGACTTTTAAGAAAGCCACACTGTTGTTTATTGCTGTTAAATAGTCAAAGATAGTACAGTCTATGCTGTTTAAAGGCATTGTTTTGATATAAAATGTGTGGCACTTTTTGTGGAATCTTGTGCCAACAACATAATGTACATTAACTTAAAAAATCAAAATACCATGAAAAATGCAAGTTGGTTTATCTGCAGGGGGTGCATTTTTCATAGTACATTGCTTAAAATTTTGAGCATTGATTTATTCATGGATGGGCTTATAGGTGAGTAAATATGGTACATTAATGTGTGGCTTAGTGTGAGTGGGAACACAATTGTGAATAAACCATAGTTGGTATAACTGAAACCAGAGTTGGTATGTATTGCAAACCATGGTTTGTGAATACACATGTTTTGAAGTGGTTTTCTTGCTTAATCCTGGTTAGATTTGTGTCTCTAAACACATATCTGCAAAGCAAGTGTAGGGTGTTTTTTTTAAAAAAAAATTGATAAGCAAACTGCCTGTTTTCCTTATATATTGGACTGATTCTGGCTAATTTGACAAATCATGGTAAAACTTGGGATTTATATGTATCCCAAAGCTTTTTGGAAGCTCTCACCAGTGGTTCAGTACTAAATGTGCCCATGGAGATTCTCAGTCATCCAGGTCATGGTTGTCCCAAAAGTGCTTTTTCAAAAGGCAACTGGACTTTGTTTTTCCCTGAAGACATTTTGCTTCTCATCCAAGAAATTGCTTCAGTTCAGTTCAGTTCTGAACTGAAGAAGCTTCATGGATGAGAAGCAAAATGTCTTCAAGGAAAAACAAAGTCCAGTTGCCTTTTGAAAAAGCATCTTTGAAACAGTATTCCAGTATTTTGGTGGCGCATTGCGGTACTGCAGGCTAAACTCACCGTTCACTCCAGGAGTTTGATTCTGAGCGGCTCAAGGTTGACTCAGCCTTCCAGCCTTCCGAGGTCAGTAAAATGAGGACCCAGATGGTTGGGGGCAACATGCTGACTCTGTAAACGGCTTAGAAAGGGCTGTAAAGCACTATGTAGTGGCATATAAGTCTGTGTGTTGTTGCTATTTTTATTTAGGATAATGATTAGATTTTTAAAGGTGTGTTATTTTCACATCAGGGTAGTTTGATGAAAATTTGGCAAATATAGGTCCAAATGTCATTTTTCTATTCTTCTTCTAGAAAAATTATGCTGAAACTAGAGTGAAATTACTGTATCGTATATAACTTGTAAGAACATGGAATAAACACTTTTTAAAGTCTGAAAATGTGTAGCAAGCAAGTTTATTACAGGAATGCATAGCCAGCTGAAGAAAAAACAGAATTTCCCTTAAAAGAGCATACTTTAGGCATTCTTCATGTAATTTCTTAAAAGATCTAAAACTTTTCCTCCAGGCAAAAATAGTCTTTGTAAAGCCCACACCCTGGACTTTAACGATCTGTTTCCCTTTATCTCCTTGAACCATGTGGAACCAAATTAGAAGTGTGTGCAAAACCAATGTTGTGCTAAGCTATCCACAGAATGTTAAGGTGGAGGCAGACTTGTTTACATGCCAGTTTTTATATAGAAGTCTGTAATCTAATGTTTTTACAAAGAAGCCTATAATCTAATCTAATGTTCCATGTGGCAGACTTTGAAATCTATAGGTAGCCATTAGTATTGCAATGTTTTCCAATTGTGGTAACCTTTTGAAGAGCAAGTCTATTTTTGTTTCCTTGATTTTCAGAACTCCTTGTGGAATGGGATACTGAAAGCTAGCTATCTAGCATGTAACCCAGCCTTTTTTCTTCTTTTTTTGGGTGTGTGTGTGTCATGGCTTGGGTTGAATACTGTCGGAAGCAGATGAAGCCATTACTAAAAACCGAAGTTGCTTCAGTTTAACTTATTAATCTCTCAATTCATATGGTCAATCCTTATTAATTGATTTTGTCATGTTAAAAATATGATTTCTGGCAACTCTTGAAAGGGCTTGGGGGCAAAACCTAAGACTTGAGGTTGGGTACATATTGTACATTTTTGTAAGCTGCTTAATTTGAAATTTATCATTTTAATAATGAACCTATACTACGAAACATAGTAATTTTCACTCTTGATGTACTGATATTTTATATCTCTTGAGAGGGAAAACATGAAAATATTATTAGATAGATAGACAGACAGATCTTCTGTAAGCTACTTTTCCATTGCTTTTGAAATGGGAGGTGGAGTTGGCAGAACTAGACTTGTTAAAGCTGTTCAAAGCACCTGAGGTCTTACTGAATTTTGTAATCTGTAAAATCAGGGCCTCGTGTGGTCTGATGAGCTAGCATATTTCATTGACTTATTTATATTGACTTGGAATTCTATAAATCAATTTGTTTGCCTACAACCAATCCTCAGGCGACGTGTTCATATTCATAATTTCCTTCTGGGAGGTTTGGAGTTGGATGGATTTGAAGGATAAGATAGTAAAAGAAAATGGAAAACTAAGAGGGGGAAGTTAATCTTTAGATCTTTAATGTCAACTCAGATCTTTAAAATGACAATGCTCACTCAGATTAATTTTTTTTTTTTATTTAATTGACAAATTTGTATGCCACTCAATTCCCAACAACTTTTAGGAATTGGATATTGTGTTAACTTAAACAGGTTTCATCTCTGAGGTATTTCTAAATCATGTCTCCCAAATCATGAAATCAGCACAAATGTGGGAGAAGGATTGGCCATTCTAGAGGGAGCAGTTAAAAGAGGCATTCATTTAAGATTGTTACATAGTCACAAGCAAACTAAGTTCAATTCGCTTGAATGTGGTTGACCCTTATCTAGTTTTAACTACGTATGTACTAACTGTTAGTCTACTCTAATATTTCTATGCATAGATTTTAACAATAAGTCAGTAAACTGGAACTTATGTGTGTGGATCTGTTTTTTTGCTCACCTGTCAACACATGGCATTCAGATTACTGGGTTGATCAGTAGCATTTATGAGTTGATCCATATTGAGTGAATTTTCCTGCCTTGTATCATGTTTCATAGATTTGTTTTTCCAGCAAAATGTGCACATAGTTGAACACTTGCACAGCGAAGAAAAGGTATCACAATATTATATTGTTGTTTACTTTGATAGTCCTAAACATTCCGTTGTTTAGGACACTGAGACTGACCATTCATACAATTTTGGGGGGGGGAGGTAGATCTTTTTCAGCTTCACTTTCTTTTATTCAGAACTGAAAGTGCTGATAATTGAACCCCGGCCTTCCATATGCCTTCATCTGTGATCTAACATGACTATTCCCACATCTTGTTCAGAAACTGGAAAGTTCTGACACTTTCCAAAAATGTCTTGGTTTCTGTTATTTCTGTCAAAAGTTGGGCTCCAGTTTCTGGGTATAATTCTGCTTCCCGTAGTCTGGGTGAGATTTGCAAAATATTGGAACTTTTTCTGAACCAATGTGTTTTGTAGCATCTCTTTGGGGTCTTAAGACTCAGCCTCTTTATGTAATTCCAAATATAACACTGAAGAACAAGGATTAAAATTTTTAGAACTTTGACCCGTTCCTGCATTCTGGGCTTTTTCTTTACTTCATCTGATTTTCTGTATTTTACTACCTCCGCTGCTTGGCGAAGGCCATTTAAATAGTTTAGAGTGTAGAAGAAATATAAAAGTATAAGGGGAAGGGATTGTTTTACGGCATTGAATAAGGCGATGCACGAGGACTGGAAGTTTTATCAGAAGAATCTACTTTGCTTGAGATTGCAAATAGCGGAGGTGGCTCAAGAAGTTCTTGCTTGTCCGGGTTGCTCCAGAGAGAAAAGGATGGATCTGGGCGGACAGGCGACCTAGTTAGAACTTATTTGGAGCCTGGCAGTGCGTGGCTTTATCGTCAGAATGGCGCAAGCACAGGTTGGTTTTTGTTCTTTCTCCTTCACACGTTCCCCTTCTCTTTTTCTGCAGACGTTCCAGGCGTGCGTTGCAATCAATTTAGCTTTTTAATCTTTCGCATGCATAAAAGGTCTGAGGAAGAGTTCATCGTATTAGGGTCAAACTTCGGGACAATTTCTGTTTCCGCGGTGGTCTCTAGATGCGCAGAGGCAGGGAAGGAGGGCAGCGCTAATGGATGCTCTTTCTCCGTAGCGATCTCCTCTTTTGATCTGTGACCACGAGCCGTTCCTATTGGCCGTTTCCCTTGTGACGTCTGGGGACTGCGGTTGTCCTATGTATCAAGCGCCGGGCTTAGTTTCCGTATCTTAAAGAGAGACCGGAGACCGCGGGGTTTCTTGTATGCTGCAAGGAGAAGCAGAAGCCAAGAAGAGCCGGGCCTGCCTTCTCGCCACCCCCGCTCCGCCCCGATCACTGGGGATGGGGACAGCTTTCCGCTAGATTCGCTGTCAGACTGGAGGGGAAAGGGGAAAACTGTTCCCACCAGCCGAAGTCAGAACCATGCTGTGACCAAAGTTGAAGTCTGAAGCGAAATTAGACACCCCCCCTCATTCCCTTTTACAAGCGGGATCCGATCCAAAAGAACACGTGAGTCTGCCGCACATTGGAGGAGGAGGGGGAGACTTCAGACTTGCCCAAGGGCAACGGGGACACCGTTGTCTGGATGATCCCCAGTGCAAGCGGCTGCTGGAAAGGTGGCACTGAGTGGCAAGAGAAGATTGCTAGCAGTTGACAGAAGCGGAAGGGGAGAGCAAGCTTTCCTAGAAGTTTTTTTGACTACTGGGGGTTATGGTGGTCTAATCAGTAACTTAGTTCGTGGAGTAGGTATAAGGTTTTTCCATCTCTATTTTTTTATTGTATTTGGGGAAGGGGTAAAGAATTGGCAACAATTAGGGGAATCAGAAGTGCAGAATTTAGTATTGACTTTAGGTGTCATAATTGTTTAGCCTAAATTGGTCCAGTCATGTGTTGCAACTTCATCTTCAAATCAGGAAGGAGTTTCCCTCTTACAGGGATTTAAAGCAACAGTGGCAAGACTCCAAAAGGTTGTCTCTGGTCAATAGAAGATGCAGATATGTATATTTGGCACCAGTTTTGTAATAAAATTAATGAAGAAATGTTTGTATGCCTAGAAGACCAGCCCAGAGGGGTTTTTTCCTTCCCTTATCCATTCCCAGAGACTATTAGTCAGCCTCCAATCATAATGCCCTCTCTTCAATTTTTTCTCTCTCTCTCTCTCTGATTCATTCATTCACTCACTCACTCACCCACTCACTCTCTTTCTTTCCCCTTCCTTCCTTCCTTCCTTCCTTCCTTCCTTCCTTCCTTCCTTCCTTCCTTCCTTCCTTCCTTCCTTCCTTCCTTCCTTCCTTCTTTCTTTCTTTCTTTCTTTCAACAGTGTTTGTTTAGATACTCATTTTGTTTTTTTTATAGGCAGCTACACGCAGGTCAGTTGTTTATATGTAGCCTCCATTTCTGCCCAGTTCTTTTTTTTCCTGTCCCCTTTTCAATTTCTTTGATCCATGTTGGAAATGTAACCTGGACTGGCTGTAGAGTGGGGAAATTGGCTAGGAGATTTCTTGCCTTTGACAATCCTGAAATTAGGGAGGGCAGAGCATGGTAGAAACATTGCAGTAATTCTGTCCCACAACTAGGCAGAAATGGATTTCTCAGTGCCTGGATGGATTGCTCCATCCTCCATATATTTTTCTCAGCTGCATGGAAAAAGATGCAAATGAAACTAATACATAAAATAATGGCCACTGGAGATGGGCCAAGTACTAGCATCTGATCCACTCTAGGAAAAAAAGCAAAAAAATCTTGAAAGTAGTATTTGGGACTATTTACTCTGAGAGAGGAGTATTAGCACATTAAGGACCAATTGCTGATAATGGCAGAAACTCAGGGTTTCAGGAGGCAGGCTCCAAGGAAACCAGCTTAGCAGGCTGACTGGACTAGGCAATTTCCTAGTCAATTCAGGCTGGAAGAAAGTGTTGTATGAATTTTGGGATTTGGTAGGTGCACTAAAGTGCTGAGCTGCAGATAAGGGTACTCAAACTAAGAAAGCCTGGGTCTCCTGTGTGGAAAGGGAAGAGGCAGGTGGCCAGGATTAACAAGTACATATCATAGATTTGCTGCCATTCAGCAGCACCAAGTTTGCATTAAGCTGCTAGAGGTTATCTTGCAGGATCCAACTTGAATTGGTCAATGGGACCAAAGATTTATTCTTCCAAGCTTTTGGGCTCATGCTGAATCTCATCCTCTGGGAGCTCCTTTCCCTCCAGAATATGTGTAACATGTGAGCAACTCAGACTGGATCCTGCAACATTATCTTGTGTCTTTTTTAGTTTACTTTAATCCCTGCTGTTTTAAAGTATGACATGCAGTGTTTTTAATTCCATGTTGTGGAATACAAAGAAGGGTTTCTTCAAGGCCACTAGCTGTACAAAGCTTTGAAGCAAAGTTTATCTTGTAAAATCCTATGAATTTCATTTACCAATATGCTCAGGAAAAACATGGCATTAATATCCCCAGAATTTATGATTAGAGACCCTGATGTCACCCATAAGAATTCTAGAGGAAGATGAAAATTTTCAAAAGTGCATTGGAAAAGCAGATTATTCTAGCCAAGTTTTGTTTTGTCTCTGTTAATATTTTTTTCTTTTAGATTTTAATTTCCTGAATAAAATACAAAATAGAAATTTTAAAAAGGAAAATTTGGTTATTTTAGAAACAGTATTGTATATACACTATGGTCATTTTTTACAAATCAAAATGTTGTGCCCTAGTGCAGGAATCGTATCATGCAAGTTAAGCCAATATGCATTTTGTACAGTATATTCCATTCCAGGTCTTTTCCATGGACAGAGAATAGAACTGTTTTTCTGAACAGATAGTTTAAACAGATAGTTTATTGGATTAGTACCAAGTACACATGATGCAATTTGTTTAATACTTACTGTACCGTATAGATGGGTACTGTTGACAAAGTCCATGTACTACAACAGTCATCTACTCCCAATGTTCAGGATGGCAGCTTCATTACCCCCAGTCTGTAAGTAAAGTAGCATAGTATACAATAGTGGCTTGTAGTTTCAGTATATCCAGATGGCACCAAATTGGAGAAGATTACCCTAGATTAGTGTTTCTCAGCCTTGGCAATTTCAACTCCCAGAATTCTCCCAGTCATTCTAGAGATGAAGTCAACACATCTTGAAATTGCCAAGATTGAGAAAGAGTGTCCTAGAGCAAGAGTTCAATCTGCTGCCAGTATTGGTTAAAATGTTAATGAATAAGTGATACTAGAGTAGGAAAGTACAATTATGGAATGCTATGTTGCTGCTATCTTATACATATATGTTCATCTACGGTAAGAGTATGTTTCTCTGACTCAGTAAAGTTGGGTAGGTTTTAAGATGACACGCACATTGCACTACAGAATTATACCTTTCACTAAGCCCTTGCTTTTTCTTTTTCTTCACACTCCTCACTGGGTTTCGTAATCATGAATGAACATAGACAAGAATTGTTTTCCTTACACCTCTGCCAAATACTCACCCACATACTCATACTCATACAACCTAACACTGTTTTTGCCCAATTCTTGCCACCCACATTTGCTTCTATTAATCTTTACAGTATTTCAGCTTCTTTATTGTAATGCTGCAAACATCAGCCCTATTTTGTCATAATCTTATGTGGCAGAAGAGAAAAGCAACAATGAATTTAAAGTTCTTTGGAAATAGTGATGTGTGTATCTTTATAATATGGAGTTTCATCTTAGACAAGCAAGCTGTTTTTCTAAATGAAAGAGCTGGCAATGTAAATTAAATTGCAAACAAATCTTTTCATTTTTTCCCTTTTGGATCTTCTGTAGATTTCTGTCTCCCCTTATTATTATTTTCCCTTTGGGTTAGACCTTTCTCCATCTCTCTCTCTCTCTTCTGAGAGGGACTTTCACAGACCAGTCACTAACAGGGAAGTCATATGTTTATTTATTAGCAGAGAAAGGGGTTTCAGAGTGCACAGTGAAAACTAAATTTAGAAACTACCAAAATACGTTCTACAAATCCTTCCTTAATAAACATCACTCCATTAAAAGGAATCAAAATCAGGCCTTGTACTATACTCCTTATTACTTACAGAAAGAGACCAACATCTGTTTCCATGTTAAAAATAGTCATTGAGGTGTTCAAACTTCATATTCTAATCTGTCACTTTGGTGGCACAAATTTGCCTTGAATTTGGCTCTTGTTTTCTCTCACAAGGTTTTCAGAAGGATTGTGAATGATTTGCCAGTCACTTAAATGCTGAGGAGTACTACAGTACAAATAATGTTAGGTGTTAAATATGTTTTCAGGTTTTTTCATTCTATAATGACCAAAGCCAGCTTTCCATGAAGATGGTAAAACAATGTTTGGGTCATATTTCTGACTGCATGAGAGAATCTTGCTTGCATGAGTGACATCCTGTTCCATGCAAATATACTGTGAGGAAAACTAATAGCTTTGGCTACGGTTAATCCTAGCCTACTTTCCTTGACTGCTCTCTTTCTCTGTGGAGCGGAAGTTTTGAACAGAGGGAAAATAATTCATGCAGACCTTCAGTGTGTGTGCAGCACACACATACACAGAGGGAAAGAAACTGAAACATTTCTAATAAAGGATGCTATTCCGAATAGTTTTCCAAAGTATTTGCTTTCATCAACATTTTTTTAAGATCTTTGTTGGAGAAATATTTTCTTCATGGCTATTGGTTTAAAATATAAGCAGTGGAGTGAAACACCTTTGGTGATTCTGGGACAAATGGCTAAATTCTAAGCAAGTATTTAAACCTGTAGGGACAGGGTTGCTTTTTCTTACTGAGTTTTGGCTGGAGAATAAGTCAGCTGATCCAACATCTCTTATTCATCTGTCTGGGGCAAAAGCTGTGTTGGTCGCACTCCTGGGACCACAGCTAGCTGGAGGGTTTGGAGCACTTGAGAGCGAGGGGATGGCGAATATGTTCTCCTTTTGTTCTGCTACTCAACTCCCCTCTAACAAGTATCTGATATCTTCTGAAAGACTTCCTTAAAGCATTAGGTTCTTCCCCTCCCTTCCTTTGCTTTCGGGATAAGCCCAAATATTGGCATGACTCAACAGAGCTATACAGAATAACTCTGATGACGTTTCCCTGTGTTTGGGCTGCAAGCTAAGAAGCTACTTGGGGAAGGTTAATCAGGGACAGAGATGGCATCCAGCCATTGTTTTTCTCCTCAACTCAATGTTGCCTCTCCACAATCTCGTGTTAGGGGAGGGGCTTTGGAAGTGCTTTGTGTGGCACTCCTCCCCCTTTCATGCTGGCGGTCAGTACACAGAACAGCATGTGTTCTTTTATTTTATTTTATTTTGCTTTTTTTCTTAAAATAGACAACAATGGTATATGTGTATAGGAATTCTGAAAGAGAATCTTTTGGGGCAAGGGGAAGTCCTGCTGCTTCTGAGTTGCTTTCACCCTGCCTAAAAATCAAGATTTCCTCCCTTCCCACTACTTAGAACAAGCACATGGGTGCCACTTTGTATTTCTGACAACGGTCAAGGTGGCATTTTTTAAATTTTCTTCTTTTTAAATTTTAATGTTCATCAGATCCATATGTCAAAATTTGATTGCTCTCCATCTCCTGCAAAAAGAATGTCTTCAGTGATTTTTCTCTCACAAGGGCTGCTAGCTTTGGCCATCATTGCCAGTTCTGTCATTTTTATTAACCCAGTCCTTTTTTGTGGGCATTGTAGAAGTCTTTCCAATGCTGAGCATATAGAAGTCTGTGCTGCTGCTATCATATATAACCATAAAACACCATGAGATTTTTTCACCGTTTTATTCAAAATCTCTAACAAAAAAGTTTCCAGTCTAAATTATACACTAATTTTCAAAATATTTTGAATTATATTACTAATTTTGATCTAATATTGTTTAACTCGTTTACAAGTCAACCAAAGATGATAAATGGTACCTATTTTAGACTTACATTTCCACAACCATTTGGGGATCTTTTATACCTTTAGCCAATTTATCTGGGGATAAATGCCATCTACACATCATTTTATAGAAATTTTCTTTAAGGCATAAGGTAAATTTCAGTCTCTTTAGCCACATATTTCTCATTGATCAATTAGTATGTTATATTGAAATTTTTAAAATTTTGCCCAGCTTATTATACAATTTTTAACTATTCCGTCTTCTGTTTCCAATTTTTAACAAACCTCTTCCCTTTACCCAGAAATTGAAGTTGGTGTTCTTTTCCCTGCCTTAGTAAATATGATTTAATCACTACCCTGTGTGATGGTAAAGAATATCAAATTATTCTACATCGATCCATCCCATATAAAAACAGAGTGCAATTTGCTGTCAAGATAGGTAGCCTTCATTCATGTAGTAGACCTACATCTCACTTTTCCTTGAGAACTCA